TTATTTCCGACAATCCCAAGTTAACACAACCGGGATCGAGTTTAAGAGCGTACACACTTTTACAATACTAATAAGGCCCCACCAGATATAATGGCTGAGTGAGAGGCATCGTGCCATATGATTTTTGCATGCCTTACATACCTTTGGCGGTAATATGCTCTTCTCTGGATGGGCATGTTTTGTATTCAAACTCCATCTGGGTGTGGTGAGACCAAGACAGCAATCTATCCAAGGATTTTAAAAAATTTCGCCACAATCTTGTGCATATCATTTATCGCTTCCTATGAACTAGGTCTTTACAAAAAGTAATTCACCTGGATTCAATTTCGCGCATATTGTTTAGAAACTTTTTTGCTCTGAGTAGTGCAATATTTACCTGAAGCTATGGAGCATCAGAACAATTAACATGCCATAAATTGCACTAATAAAAAAATTCGGAAAGCTTTTGTGAGGCAATGAAGAAAAGGAAAATTCTCGACAGCCTTTCAACGGAAAGAATCGACTACCGCATATGGTATCTTGTATGGATTAGCCTGAGATTATCCAGTATAGGACACAAAGGCACAAAGGTTAAACGGTTTTAAAGATAGTGGAAAAGTAGGATGGTTACACTCATTCCTGCCGAGTTGCTCCATCAGTACGAGTATTAAGATACCCGTCGAGAATAGCTGCATGAGATAGCTACATTCAAACACCCATTTTGTGGACAATGTGTTAGTGACATGGCACCGTGAGCATAATTTCCATGTCATCCCATATTCATCGTGTCTCTAAATCCTTTCTAATTCACTCAAAACAGTCAACTAACAAGGGACTCAGCTTTGAAGTTAAAGAAGGTGACTACAATGGGCTGGTGGCGACCATGGGCCATCTTGGCGATGTGAAGGAGCGTCAGGCGGCCACAGACGAGCTTTTCGAGCCGTTAAAGCAAACTATTGAACTGCTAAAAACGTACAACCAAGAAATGTCAGAAGATGTGCATCAAAGTTTAGAGGTGAGTTTTAGCTTATAGTAAAACCATTTTTTGATATTTCAATGCAGCAGCTTTCCGTTCCATGTGGATTATAAAAAAGAAATTTTGCTTTGTCTGTTGCTACATTTAGCAGCGATAAAGGTTGAAATGATGTAATAAAACACAGTACGCACCAGAGATGTGGTATGACTTCTCACTTCGATGAAAAAGTAGGTTGCACGGAATTAGGAGATTTGTATTACCAGAAATCAAAGAGGGACTGTTGCAAGGTGAATACTGTTGGATTGTGCAAATATGTTCTTGGCTCACTGTCCTACATTCCAGATCAACTTGTACTTAGCTTTCGTCTGCTATGGGACAGGCATCGTCAGAGCGAGGAACCATACTCTACCACAAAATGTACCAAATATACTAAACCAAGAAACTAAGGGTGTTGTATTGTATTTGGCGCGTTTTTTCCCTTATCACTCTTACGATGTTTACCACATGACAGGAAAGCTTAGCAGGGCTTCACCGGAGTCTCAGCAAGGTCAGCCGGGGACTTCTTGGCAAAATCCTACAGTCTTCACTCTGCGGCAATCCTTCTTTGGTTGCCGATAATACCAAATTCACAAATTACTCCCAACCACATTTTTTTGGATATCAAAATTCATGCCACAATCAATCACTAAGGCATTTTTCGAAACCCAGATTTTTCTTGTGCACTCCAGATATCCTATCACTTTGGTGTTAAATTATCCCCAACCCAAGCATTACTTTTGTAGAACCATACAATTATAAGTAAATCTACCAAAACTGGGTTGATTAATGAATATGGTAAAAATTTCCTTTCCATCCTTGATGAAAACGATTCTTAAGGTTGATTCATTGGAAAAGAGTTATCCATCGTCATATTTGAAAAAATTAGCGCCTTCAGTTTTTAGAAGCCTCTTCTTTTTATCAAGTATTCATTCAGACTTTGAATGTACTAATCACGTAAGATTACTTTGCTCTACTCTATATACTCTTTTCATTCATTCTTAGTCAGCATGTTTCCACATAAGTGTTCTCTTTTTATTTCGCATGCATCCAGAAAAAAAAGCTAATTTAGTTTCCTTCTTTCTTCAAAGTTGATGTACTACCTGATAAAGCGCTAAAATGTGTCATACTTAAACTGATTTTATTTCACCTGCTTGAAGCAGTAACAGCAGTAGCCAACAAATTCATTTAAGTTTTTGCCCATCCATATTTTATGATTCAACATGATCTTTTATCATTCCCGAATGATATCATCCATCATCCTTTTGAATATGTGCTCAGTCAATTCTTAAACGACAAAGGATCATTTCCTCTACATAAACCTGTTTATAAATATTGATCTGCACTCTTAAAGCATTGCTTGTCGACACGAATGTACATTAGTAATCAAAGCATTCAGCTGTGTAATGTAGCAATAAATTTTACTTTTGGTACAATTTTCGCATAAACAGCAACAGCAAAGATTAATTAAAGAGGTGCTAGTTGCTTTTATTTAATGAGTGCCATAATTCACATTGATAGAAGGTTGAAAAGCAGCATTTTTCCAAATGGTGTCCTTCTTATGGCAAGTCGGCAATTCTCGATCAAATCACTATAAAGCGCATTTAATGTAATGATCTAAAAGTGAAAAT